AAAAAATTAAAAAAATTTAAAAATAAAAAAAACAATAAGCATTTATTTAGCTGATGCATGAATGGGTCAGCAATTTAGGCTGCGTTCAGCTGAGTGATTCTTCTGATCTCTTGCAGGCTAACTCACATCTGGTAGTTGCCTGTCAGCTGTGGTATCAGGAGTGACTGGGCCATGTGACACTTGTTTTCCTGCCGGCTACCCTCAGTACACTAGCATAGTTAAGCCAGAGACATGACCAAGCAATCCCAAATATCCAGTGCTTTGTATACTGCTTCTCACACCTACTGGCCAAAAAACATCAAACAACAACCCAAGTGTTATAGTGGGTGAGCACTGCGGGCAATATAGCAGAGGGCAGACACAGGAAGAAGTGAAAAGTTGGGACCATAATGCAATTAATCTACTACACTTCCACTGTCAGGCCACTGAGCATTTATTTATGGAAAAGCCATTGAACTACACTAACTTGTGTATAAATATATTCTTAAAACCCCAGTAACTTACTTAGACTTTTAAACATAGAACAGATCACGTTCTCCTTCCTCACCCAAAATGTATCACTGGGGGGACCTGGTCCATGTAATGGTGCTTGTATTTTAGGTAAAAGCCAAAGAAAGGCCCAAAGACACAAGACTACCTAAAATAGAAGAGTTATGTCTGCAACTGAATACTTTATATATATATACACACACAAGCCCAACTAGTGATGATCTTTTCTTAGGTACAATGTGTAAGTTATGCCTGCCCATAAACTAATGAAAAGGATTTTGAACAAAACTGACACACAAATAAATTTTCTAATGCAAGGAATACACTTTTCCAGTGACACTAACATTACTCAAAGCATGTTTTAGAATACTTTTAACTGTTGTCAGAAACAAAGGCACATTCTTTTACTGCTCCATAACCTTCAGGATACTTTCGACTACCAGCATCTAAGACAGCCACAACTCAAAATGGCTTACACAGAAAGGGGAATTTTAATTTCATACACAAGAGTGCTTGCGGTAGGGCTAGAGTGACCACCCATGGGGTATGCTGAGAGACCAGCGAGCTATTTGAAGGTTGACTCTCCTAGTGGCTCAATGAGTCTTCAGAGATCTCAGGTCCTCCCTTCCATCTTCCTGCGGTGCCGTCTGCAGCATGTCACCCTAAGGCCAACTTACATCTCCCCAGGTTGCTGTTCTTTAGAGCAATAAAATAGAAAAGAACCATTCGCTCCCACACTTGCCTGTATCAGGATTCATGCCTTCTCCCCAGTCTCGTTTTGCTTGTACTGGAACCCACACCCCTTATCAGGGCTGGCTTAGGTTCATCAGCTGCAATGTGAGTCTGCGCTGCCATTTTCCCCTTAACCTGGCTGCGAAAGAGGAATGTGGACCGTGGACCGAACTGAGATATCCGGAGGAAGAGTCAGCAGTGAACGCTAGACACAGTCTGTGCTGGGACATCGCCTCACTGGGTGTTGCCCCGAGCGATGCTGGGAACTAAAGCATTACGAATGATACAGAATATGGGTTTGTTTTAGGGACTGAGCTTCCACACTCGCTGCAAGGCCCATTCCCACTCGTGTGTGCCGGGCAAAGCGTGTATATAAGGCACGTGGCCTGGCCCGGCGGTCGGGGCGCTGACGGTGGAGCCGGCAAGCAGACGCACGGAAAGCTGAATAATACCCACAGCCACAAGACCGGCCACCACCATTGATTAATGACAACCCCTTTGATTAATGAGAGGGGCGGCTCTCACCGGTCTCCCCAGACACCTTCCCCGATAGAGACGGTGGCGCTACGTCACTTCCGCTTTCCGAAGCTCGCGAGGTCACGTGATCCGCGCTAACGCCGGAAGTCTGCATACTGGGGTTAGTGGGAAACGTAGTTCCAGCTCAGCTAGGTTACAGAGCAAACTTCTTTTTTTTTTTTTTTTTTTTTTTTTGGTTTTTTTCTCCGGTACCGGGAACCGAACTCACGACCTTGCGCTTGCCAGGGAGGCGCTTTGCCGCTGAGCTAAATCCCCAGCCCCAAGAGCAAACTTCTGTACTGCTTTCCGTGGTTAAAATCTCAAGCTGTGCCTAGGAAATAAAGTGGTAGAATAGTGTGAGCACTGGCCCTTAACTCTTCTGGAGGAATATGTGACTTTACCTTTTTTATTTTTTCCCATGCAGTGCTGTGGACTCTGATTACCCAAACAGAACAAAGTGAGGCCAACTTGCCAAGTCTTCAGTCGCTCCCATGGACCTTCAACTGAGACACAGTAGTCTGGAGCCTGTGACGATACACCACTGATGACCCCTCGGGGAAAAACCAGATGCAATTAATTCTAAGAGCTCGGTCAGCCGTTGCATCTAACTGAACTCTGTAAATCAAAAGCACTATGACCATGAGACAAATATCAATAAGTATCTTCCGCAGTTTTGAAAATGCATCAGTCCTAAACAAGGTGAGGTGGGGACATGAATACCAAAGATCAAGGTGTCGGTCAAATCGGAGAGATACCTGTTTCAGAGGCTGTTTATTTCAAGTGTATTATTTAAAGATGATTGCTGTATCTACATATACATCATAGAAGCCTCACGTTTTAAGATAAAGAGGTCTGCAATAATTCTTGTTCAAGTTATCTGTTTAAAAATGAGAACCTAACACAAAATCATAAGTGAATCTCAAAAATATGCTAAATGGAAGGAAGTAGACCCAAAAGACTACCTAGTATATAGTTCCATTTATATGAAGTTCAAGAACAGAAAACTATTATGAAGCAGAAAAAATCAGAAGTGTTTACCTTGGGTAATGAAGGTAGAGTGGACTGGGAGGAGGCCTCAAAAAATTTCCAGCAATGATGAGTATATGCATGTATCAAAATTTATTGTCAGGGTGAAGTGTACTAACATCTGGAGCTTATTTTGAAATGCGTAAAAAATAGGATGGATTGATGAATGAATAAAATGATGGATAAATAGACATATAAGGAAACACAGTAAAGTGTTAACTGTGGAATCTAGGTGGAATGTCACAGATGTGAACATGCTTATTGGGAAAACAATTGGTAAAGAAGTCATTGAAAAAGCATACAAAAAGGATGTAAAACTTACTGTCAATTAAAAGTACAGTATCAGCAGACAGTCCACTCAAAACATTTAATGTAGCTCACCCTATTTTTTAAGATATGAAATACAGTCTCTTTGTTGAGTTTAATTTCTCCCCATTGCTAGCTGCTTGCCATGTGTTACCCTATTCTGGACACTCTTGCAAGCACACTAAGAATCCCCCTCTACTTATTTTCTTTTAATGACACTGTTATCAGTCAGTTATAACAACATGTGCTGCCTAACAAACCACCACAGAACTCAGTGGCTCACAATAGCAAATTATTATTTCTTGCTTATGCATTTAGAGTGGCCAGGGGTTCACCCATCGAGGCTGGGCTCAGGGGTCTATGCTACAGGATCCATGTGTCTCACATCCTCCATGAACCAGCAGGCTCCCAGGCCATGGTCTTTTCATGGTGATAGTTATAACACAAGAGGACAAGACAGCCTAAGCAAACAAGTACATTGCAAGATTTTGTGCCTATCATCTCTGCTAAAATTCCATTTCCCAAAGCAAGTAACACAACTAATGCAAATTAACCACAGCTCCCCGCCTCCACAGGCCCAGATTCAGAAATGAAGGGTTCGGGCTGGGGATTTAGCTCAGCGGCAAAGTGTCTGCCTGGCAAGCACAAGGTCATGAGTTCGGTTCCTGGTACCGGAGAAAAACCAAAAAAAAAAAAAAAAACCAAAACAAACAAACAAAAAAAAAAACAGAAATGAAGGGTTCACTTCAAGCTGCTATTTTTTATCATGGCAAGAGATGCAGGGGCAGCTGTTGTCCCAGAGTTTATTGATGTGAGCCCAAATCTTCTTCCTGAAACTTCTGTCTGCTTGATGAGCTGCCTTGGCTTCCACCATGCAGCAAAAACAAATCTTGAGAGCGTAAGTGAACCAGCTCTACTGGGCTGTTCGTCTCCTCAGCTTCCCCCAAGGTAGAATACTAGGGGGACAGATACAAATATCTGGCCAAGAGAAGGGATACAAAGCACTTATTTTTCTGCTTTAGGAGAAGTCAATTAGAGTTTCAATTTCCTCAGTTAAATGTCACCTTTTTACAACATCCTAGAGGGAGAGTCAGCGGTCCCATCATTAGGAAAAGAAGTCTTTCAGGGAAGGGCTTATTTTCTAAAAAGACACAGAAAGGTCCAGAGATTAAAGGATGTTCTCAGGCTGGCTGAGTTTCCCAGAGCTCTCGGTTTCTATTTTGAGCAGAGCATTGGCTTCCCTTGTAGCCTCAAGTGAGCCTTTTGAGCCTCCCTGCAACACTTTTCTACCATTTGCAAAGAGGGATAATAAGGCTTGCTGCTGGGTAATGCATATAAATTGCTCCGAGCAGCTCAGAGGAAAGTAGGCTTCTCCTGAGGAACACTGTCAGCATATTTTTTTCCTGATCTCCAGATATTTTCAGTGTCTGGTACCCCTCATTAGAGCATCAGGCCCTTTTACAGAGAAGTTAGACGAAAGCCAGAATAAATGGAGCAGAGAGGATCCCTTCTCTTGCCTTTGCTGTAAAAGAGATATGTCAAGTTGAGTGATGAACGATTACTGTTCTCTACTTGCTAACACTTTGTACTCTATTTTCAAATTAAGGAGCACATTGTTGGTATGCTTGAAAGGTTAAACACTCCCACTTCATGCCGCAGCCACTAATTGGTGCTTTATCACCATTTTCATGCAGGGAACATCTTGTCTGCAGACATTTCCCCCACAGAGCTGGGTGAGATTTTGAGAGCATCTCAAGTTTCTAAAGTTAGATCATAAATCATCCTCCTGCTTGTAGGGAGGTATTGCACCCAAAAAGACCCCAGCTAATTTTGAACTTTTTCAAAATGAAATGATAAGGTTGATATGTTAAAAAAAAATTTTTTACCTTTTTTATTATATGGGGGTCTCCTTTTCTCCCTCTACATGTTTCATTTTATTGGACACAAGGCAATCAATTTTATTGCAGAAATAATTCAAAGTGGTCACTGCATAATATGACCTGTGTGCCCTTACTACCAAGTTATCTTTGCGCATTTAGCTTTGAAAGTGGTCATGGGGTGGGGAGGTGTGCTGGGTTGTGAGAACTGGTCATAGGGGTTCCTAGACGGAAAAATGAAAGATGCTGTCAATGACTTCTTGGGGAAAGTCTTTTGCCTGATTCAGAATATTTCTAGTCATCTCCTAATATTTCAAGAGGAAAAAAGTCTTCTAGAGACAAGACAAAGGCATCTTTGATCCCGGGGTGTCTGTAACTCTACCACCATGAGAAACTGCCTGAAAAAGACTTTGCCTTTTTAAATATGTGAAGCTTTGCTTTTTATTGACAAGCATGCCCAAATTCTGACAGGTTTATTTAGGTACGTGTTTATTTAGTACTGAAAATTGGAAGAGAATGTCAGAATTTCCTCCACTATCCCCTTCAGAAAAGAACAAAAGTCAACATTTAGAAAGCAAAAACCTAGATGTGTATGCTCCTGTAACGATTTTACCTTAGCCAAATTAAACCACTGAGTTGACATGTTTCTTTTTTTCTCCTTGTTCTTTTCTTCCAGATGTTGATTTTGAGTCAGATTGTATCATCAGCCGCAGTGTTCTAAAACATGTGCATCTCCCTTCTTCCAGGTGTCTGTGACAGACATGGGGCTGCGTACTTGTAGCAAGGCCTGCAAACACAGTACACACCTTATAAATAATTGCTATCAAGCTGTGGAGGGAAGAGAAACCAAATGGAAAAGAAGTAACTTGCTTCCACAGAATGTTATGTTAGGACGATTTAAAACACTAGTATCCTGTCTCTTTCCACAGAGAAGCTACGTTTAGTAAGCTCAATTTTCATTCCTAAATTATAAGGAGGAAGGAGCCATACCAGAATGATACATGTTGCTGACAGACTTCTCTGGAAATTTTTTGGATCCTTTGCTACAATTTGCCATTCACCACTGTAGTGTTCAGAAGGACTTCGCCTCTGATACGGACTCGTCCAACTTCTGAACCCCCTGACTGCTGACCTCGTCTTCCAGCATGTCAGGAAGAACCACCTTTTGCTTTCTTTTCTAAGCTGAGATGCTTGATTGGAAGTTGTTTTCGTCTTTGGAATCTAAGGAACTTATTTCTTCCAAGATGGGAATGTCCTGACCTGCAGGGGACACCTGCTGGGACACCTGTTGGGACACCTGCTTCCCTGTCCTGCTGGAGCACCTCTTTGTCAGGCTTCTTGGACCAGCTGCTCAAGGAGAGGGCAGGGGAAGTGGGTCCGGAGGTGGTGGCCAAGTAGCTGGATCCCTGTATTAGGAATTCTACAAGGAAAGGAAGAAATGCTCTGTACTTCCTTCTGTATTAACATGTGATTTAAAAGTTGATCTGAATACAGAATCATGATTACTAGAGCTTGGCAGGCTGGGCAGGAGGGGAGATCTATAGGTAATGGGTGCTGAAACACAGCCAGATGGGAGAATAGCTCTGGGGCTCTGTAGCTCCATGGGTAGCTATAGTTCACAACAGCTTGTGATACATTTTATGAAGAACTAGTGGAGAGCCTCTCTAAGCTTCAAACATAGAGGAAAGAGAGGGAGCCGGAAATGCTGATTACCCTGATTTGGGCCAGTCCATGCTGTACACATGTGTGGGAGTACTTCTCATCTACATAACGGAGCTTCTGCCTTTTCCAGAAATATTGGGCAACAAAGAGGGTAAGAACCTGGAGTTCTCATAATGTTCCAGGAGTGCACCAAAAGGCTTCAATAGTTAAGGTCACTGGGCATTTTTACTGGGTTTATTTCTAGAAGTGGCAACACTGGGCTATAACGGATACTTCTAGAAATATATCCAAGAACGGTACCTGCATATTTTCACAAAAGACAAATATTAGAATGTTCTCAGTCCTTCAGATTTAGAGCAAAGGAAATCAGACAAAAAAGAGCCCATCCAGCTCCTAGGGGAGTAATAATTCTGATTCTTGGGTGATAGTTACATGAGTGTTTTAAATTTGCAAAAATATATTGATATATTTCATATGTAATTTCTATTTCTGGAATCTTCAAAAGTGGAGCACAAGATAACAAATGAAATCCCCGTGTTTAATTTTAAAGAGGCAGAGGGTGTGAGATATTTTGAGCTGCGCTGTTGAGCAGCGCTTGTTCAGCATGAATGTGTCCTGCTTCAGGTGCCTGTTCCAATTACTGTCGCACTTAGTACCAAGGAGAGAGGAAGCAGTACTGGGCCTTTTGCACTGAGTGACTGACCATGCCTTCCCTCTCCTCCTCCCTCTCTCCTGCGCTCTGCCTTCCTCTCCCACACACCCCAGCTGACACAACATTGGGCCCAGTTTCTTGTTAAAACCCCCTGGTACTGATAACCAAAGATGTCCATGGATGTTGAAGAGAACACAGTGGCTTGGAAGGTAAAACAAGGACATTCCTAATAGATGAAAAACTCCAGGTCCTGCAGTCAGATTCCAGCCCTGCGAGGTTTGGCTCTTCACTGGTGTGCAAGCGGGAACCCCCTTTTAGCTCCAGAGTCAGAAGGGAAGGACAGAACACAGCTTATTCATAGACAGAGCTGCCAATGGCTCCCAATGAGCACAATCTTCAGCACTGACAATAATTCCATCAAGGCTTTTAATTAACTACTAACCATATGCCTTTTGTCTTTGAATGTGCTTCTTAATTCAAGATGAAATGACGATTCAATTATACACAAGTCCTGAGATTGAACATCTATCCCCAGGCTACTTTATTCCTGTCTCCTTCCCCATTCAGATGACAGTTCAGAAATGGGAAGAAACTTACCCAGGACCAACTATGATGTAGCTCTATCTACAGAACACCCACTGCTAGAGGAGAGAACGGAGTGATTCATGAAGCTAAGGCTACAAATGCAGGTGGTGTTTCTAGTTTAAATCCACAACACTTCAATGGAGGGACTTCCATACATTTTTCATCTGTAACTATGCGGATCAACACAAATGCTTTTTATGGCAACGCAAGGTCCCTAAAAGTGTGTGTGTGTGTGTGTGTGTGTGTGTAATTTGTCCCTCACCCAAAGACACATTATGGTACTGAAACATCTTTTAAGTGTTATATGTACATCAATTAAGGGCTGGGAAACCAGGTAGTATCTGGCAAGAATCCAAAGCAGTCTTCATGCTCCTCCCCTGCTGATGGAAGAGCCAGATGGTACAGGTCTTTCCCCCCAGACAGCCTGTTGTCACACACTCAGCACAGCAGTCAGGGAACTAGGGAGTGTTTTTCAGGCAGGTGTTCAGTTGCAGACAACGACTCCTCTCCAGTTTGAGCAGATGGACAAAGTAACAATCAGGAAATCCGAGGAGGCTGGTGATATGGGACAGGGCTCCTCCAGGTTGCTCTGCATCTTGGGATCCCTGAAATCTGACCACAAGGGGGGTGTTGCCACTGATATCTCCCTGTGGGAATTTAAGGCCATCAAATATTATGTGACCATCACTGATGCCTCAGGATACAGAGACTCTCAATCCATTATGATAGGCACATCTCTGGGTGACTGCACATCTCTGGGTGACTGATTACTGCTGCTATTAGTGAATTCGAAACTGGTATCTCCAAAAAGAGGTAGATCTGGGAGTAATCTTCTGGCTTACACAGTGGGTATGTATTATGGTTTGTGTCTGAATGTCCCCCCACCAAAGCCTCATGCAATCATGGGGTGGGGCACTTTTCAGAGGTGGCTGAATCTAGACTTTATGATTGATTCATGGTCCAGTGCTGTGATTAAGGATGTGAGTGTTGCACACAATCCAGGGCAGGTAGCCTGCATACAATATAAGGGACAAAAAGAGGTTTGGTCTCCCCTCCTCTCTTTTAGCTTTTGCTGTCTTCTGCCACCGTGAACTGCTGCCCCTGTGCCTTGCCAACCTGCCTTGGAGCCAGCCAACTATGGACTGAAACCTTTACAAACTGTGAGCTAAATAAACCTTTCCTCCTTTAACTTTGGGTGTCAGAGGTTTTGTCTCAGCAATGAGAAAAATAACTAATAGTGTGAAACAAGAAAAACTGATTCCATTGAGCTATCCGTAGCCAGAAAAGAGGTGAAGAAACTGTTAAGGAAGTCAGAATCTGCATTAAGCAGCTGGCTCCACCCCACGGCAGGAGCACTCTTGCCAGTTCCTGATTAGAGTGGTGACAGCATGCTGGAGCTGAGTATTAACACACCTTGGCTCAAGGAATGGAAAGTCACTGTGAAGATGGCAGTGCTGTAGAACCACACTGCTGGAACTTAGATTGTGTAGGATGCCTACAGCACTGCAAGTACGGGCATCATCCCTGTGGGCTGAGTGGAGGCTGTTCCCAAACCCAGCATGGTGGCCATCTCTGCTCCTGTCATTGTCTCAACTGAAGCAACATCTGTTGAACTGCAGCGTGAAGCTTTGAGTGAAGCTCTTCATGGGGACAACATGGGCGTCAATGTCAAAAGAATGCCTGTCAAAACTATTCTTCTTGGCAGCATGGTTGGTGATAGGAATGTGACCCACCAGTGAAGACAGGTGTTCCACTGCTCAGGTGACTTTCCAGAACAATTGTCTTGGTTACCTTTTTCTTGTGGCTGAGACAAAATACCCAACACCCAAAATTAAGGAAGGAAAAGTTTATTTAGCTCACAGTTTGTGGAGGTTTTAGTTAACAATCAGCTCGCTCCAAGGCAGGGTGACATGGTACAGGGGCAACTGTTTAAGGCAGCAGGAGACAGCAAAGTCAGCAAGAGTGAAAGGGGTGGGGAAGAGGCCTCTTTCCCTCCCTTATATTGTATATCGGCTATCTGCCCACACTCACACAATCTCTGTGCCTGTTTACAAAGTAAGGACCCTGGCTCCCTGCTGAATCACTTAGTTGAACTTTTAAACTTCTCAAATTGACACAATGAACAATATCCTAGAGCTGTAAGGGCATGTCCTTTTCACCCCAGGATGTAGAACTGTTGAGTTAATTAGTTAAGCTTCTAACCCCTCAAACTGACACAATGTATCAACCGTAACAATCCACCCTTGTCAACTTGGCAACCAGAGACATTTCTTTAAACCAGTTTTCAGACATAAAGACATTATCGTTTTATAACTTGAACATTATAACACAAGTTTAACCACCCTTGAGATCCAGTACTGTCTATCAACATTATATTACATTAGAACCATAACATTTCACCCCTGGCTCCCCAAAGACTCATGTACATCCCTTTATGAAAAAGGCATTTAGTCCATCTGCAAGAGTTGCCAAAGTCCTGACAGTTTTGGCGTTGCTGAAAAGTCCAAGTTCCAAGTCTCCCACAAGATGTAAGGCAAACTCTTAGCTGTAAGCCCCTGTGCAAATGAAAAGTTAAACATTTTTAACATTTAATGGTACAAAATAAACGTTTTTATTCCAAAAGTTATAAACATGGGAATACTAAGGTTTGGGACCAAAGCAAATCCAAAATCTAGCAGGATGAACACTAAGTCCTGTAGTTTCACATCCAGCATTTGAAGCAATCTGTGGCACATTGTGAGCTTCAAAGGACTTGTGTGACTCCACTTCTATGGCACTTTTGGTGGTTACAACTCTCACTGCTTTTTTTTAGACCCACTCTACTCAGTCTTTGCAGCTTTCTTTAGATGACCCATGTTTCTGGCGTTTTTTAAACTTTTGGGGTCTCTACTGCACTTTAGGCTTCTCTTTTACAGCTTTATATACTGCCATCTTAGGGGCACACTGCCTGGCCCCCCAGGCCTTTTTTTGAGATCTAAGTGGAAGACTGTTTAACCTCAGAGCTCTTGCATTTTTTATGTGTCTAAAACCAGCACCACATGGATGATGCCAAGGTCTGCTGTCACCTGGAGCATTAGCCAAGCTTTTATCTCTCTTGGCTGTAGAGGTTGAGTGCCTGGACTACTGAGCACTCTGAACATGATTTTGAAGTATAAATTTTCTATGCCACTGCCATTTTGGAAGCCAGTGCAGTGGCTACCCTTTTGTAACCTGGTGTGGTTGCTGCCACCATTTTGGAACATAGTTTGGCTCTGTTTTGGAACATGGTGCTCTGCAACTTTTTTTTTTTAAGCAAAGTGTTTTACCTTTGTAGTTTTGAAGCTGCAAATGGTGGGGACCTACTGCCTCTTGTGATGCCCTCAGGCCATCTCTTGTATTCTCCTATTGTTTCTCAACAAGCAAGATCTCCTCAGCTCTACCTTTGCAATCCACAGCTTTACTGGAGCTTTTTTTTTGGAGGGGGGAGCCAAACTCATAACATTTTAAATCATCCTGCTAGGCACTTTGCTTTGATGTGCAACATAAATCTGGCTAAAAGCCCCCAACAATAGCCATGCCACCACCT